ACCCCGGCAAGCCCGAGAAAGGGACCCAGACATCCAGACAGCTCCTGAAGCCGAGGTTGCCATCAGTTCGATACCAAGGTCCCCTCCCCTTGAACGCAAACGAAGAGGGGAATCCAGCTTTGGTATCACAGCATGACCCATGTGCCTTACTTTTCACTTCCAATTGAGGGCACTGGCCAGACCAAAAAATCACCAAACTGTTCTTGGTTTAACCCCGGTGCTTCCATCCAGTTAGCATTATGGCAGCCCACCAGCTATCTTGAGCTCTGGGTTTTACATGTTGCCTACTCCAGTGGTATCTGGAAGGATTGGGTATCAGTAATTCTCTTCCCAGTCCCCCCTAAAAAAAGCAAACCTATTCCAAACCGTATTTCAATGGTTGGTGGACACACATCTCCGGTTGTCCACTTGAACGCTCCATCCCCAAGAATGCTCCCTTAAAGCCCCGTAGGTTGGCACTTGGCTTAAGTCGGGGGCGGCGCCTGAACCCAAATGGGGCACTAGACTGGGGTTAACTAATATGGGGCCCACATTTCGGTTGGTTAGGCCAGACATATTGTTTGACAATATGAAGGGAGACATCTGCATATGAGTCGGATGCGCTCGATTCACATGGATGTGGCTCAAAATTAAACGATCGGAGGGGCAAACCGCAGGTTTTGGTCCATGGAAACCACTTTCCAGGGCAAGCCATTTTGGAATTCCGTTGTTTTTTGAGCAGGCCAAATATCGATGTAGCAAAAAGTCCATCCGTTGCGGGCACACCCGCCAAAACAGTGATTCCACTTGACACTAGGTCACAAGGGAACTGGAGATAGAAACCGAAAGGACCATGGCAAAGGGGTAGCTACGGTGGCTTGCCTAGGATCTGGCCCTGTTAGAGCAAAAGGTTTATAGGTTTCGGGCGCATGAAACTTGCTGGTTCTCAGCAGGGAAATGGAATGAACCCGACAAAACCAGCCCCTATGCTTTCCTTTAAGGGAATCCTCCAGAACCAGCAAGTAAGATTCATACCCAAACTTCACTGTTCTTGGATCAAGGTTTGTTCGATTTGTTTTCTCTGCTTTTTTGGTTTTCTGTTCATTTTTAAGGTTTGGGGCCTGGAAAAAGCAGAACCCGTTTTTTGCCAGGCCATTCCAAGGGCAAAGCAACCCCTCCACTGATTTTTCCGTGGATCCCTTTTGGGGAATCCTTTCTTCCAGAGGGAATAGCAGACTAGGACCCCGGATGAACCACTGCCTCCATTTGCTGAAATGAATATTTTCAATTTTCCCTCGTTGGTTTTTTAAAGGAATTCATCACTACTTGCATTTTTTAAATATTTTTCCTGGGGCCCTTAAGCACATGGAAGTGAATAACCGGAAAAAAAGGGTGAAGCAACAGGGCACCGAAGGGAACTCCACCTGCAGGTCGAGGTGAACGCCGAGGGCGAGGCGTCCGGGAACGCAACCCGCGCCGCTCTCGCTCGGATTTTTTTGCGGCGCTCGCGGCGTTTTTCTGTTGGTCGCCGGTGATCCGGTGCTGGGGGGTTGCCCGGATTTTTTTTTCTAGGGGTACCTTCCCTAGGGGGAAAGAAAAAACAAAAACAAAAACACAAACAACGCCGGTTTTGGAGAGAAGGAAGCTTGAACAGAATGGAAAAGGAATCAAACCCTAGAATTGTCTTTACGAAAGGTGGCCTCAAGGCGAGCATCAGTTTGTCCTTGCGTTAGCCTAACGAAGCCACTTTACGACATACCACTTGACATCCTAGCTTGCGGGTCTCCCAAACCCCAAGTGGTAGGACTTGTCATGGTTGTGGTTGGGACACATCTCTAGCATTTTTGCTTATTGTGGTGAGTGGTTCAAACCCAACCACTTAACTGCTAAAATTTGAGAAGTTGTGTACTTGTGTACTTGTGTACTTATGACTTTACGGAGCGAGAGTTTCACCGAGGGGGGTTTAGGGGGTGGTATTTGGTAGGCCTTAACATCAACCAGCCCCAAAAACCGGGTCCCTTGTCTCTGCCACTGGCTTGCTTTCTTTCTGGCCATTTAGTTGGCCCTTTGTTCTCAGGAAGTGAGTTTATGGCTCTTTGGTTAGATCTGGTAACTGATCTTTAGACTTCAACTTTTTGGTTGAAACAGGTGGAACTTTCCGAATTGGAGCCACAACAGGTTAAACACTTTTGTTTTTGGCGGAGGGGTCAACACAACCAAGATTTGAGGCTTGTGCATTTCAGCCATTTGCCCGGCTGGATGTGGCGTTGTCTTGAAACGAAGCAATTTTTTGGGTCCGCCCTGAGCCAGAGGCGCACACTTGTTCCAAATGGTTGGCACGCTGCGCATCCAACTCGGCCGAAAGATCTCACGGAGGGAGTTGCTTACCAGCGCTTCCAGTTACCACTGTAGTAGGCAACCAGGGGAAACCATCATGTAAAACCTAGAGTCCCTAGAGGAAAGTTTCTTTGAACCCGTTCCTGGATTCAGAACGGTCAAACTTGGACCCAAGTTTGACCGGCGAGCTAGCGGCAAGCCCTCGGAAACCATATGCCTCGGATCCGCATGGCTGAATGTACCGATTCAAACATGGAACCTGACAGGGGCTGTTTCCATCCCCCTAACCGTGACACAGAAAGAAAGCGGTTGAATCCCAACACCAGCGAGGGGGTGATTTGTCCAAAGGAACGTCTGGAACTGTTCCCAGCGATCCCAGTTGCACTTATACTTTGGTGCATTTTGCTTGGCTGTTAGGACTTTGACTTTTTGCCAACTAATGGGTTTTCCACTAAACCACTAAAAGTTAGTCACTTTTAGCAGGGGAGCAGATTTCGCAACCGAGTATAGTGGGAAACCAGCTATTGTCCTTTTGGTTGTTTGAAGGGTTCGCTGGGCTACAGGTACATGGATCCACGGGGTTGGGGCCATTTTTCTTGAACCTTTCGAGAGTTCCATTGCCTTCGTCGGATGCGTCCACGGAAAAGGGCTGCCACTTGGGCAAGCCATAGGTAACCAGGGGAAAACCTTGGTGGCTCCCAGCCATCCCCTTAGCTTTTTGGGTCTGTGTTTTTTTACCGTGTCAGTTCTTTAGTCTTCGTGGGAGGTGGGGCTTGGGCGTTCCATACCCCCGAATCATACCCCGAACCATACCCCCGAGCCATACCCCGAGTCATACCCTTTAAAAAACACAAAAACAACTTGCAACAACTGTGGCATTTGCATGTGATCCATGGATAGCTGGAAGCTAGAGGGGGTTTAACTTCAAGTGAAGAAGGGGGTCTTGTCAAGAAACAGTGTTAGAGAGCTTGACATGTGGACCGATGCCAGGGGGTAGGGACTCCGAGGTAATACCTGGTTCACTTGTGGTTCCTGGATCTATTCTTGAGTCTGCGATGCTTGCATGGTTGGGCTCTGATGTCATGGGGCCAAGTACAGTTGGCGTGTCCACTCACACACTGTCTTTGTGCTCCTGGGGTACTCTTGGTGTCTTTCCGGTCGAAAAGATCTGTCCCCCGATTCATACCCCCGATCCATACCCGATTCATACCCCGATTCATACCCTTCTGCTGCAATTTGCAGCTAAGAGCCTCTTGCGCTCTGGGCAGTACTGGCAAAGCTGGGCCGCCCAAATCCTCAGAAGACACAAAACTCAAAGAGAAGCACTGCAGAACCAGCTCGCGGCTCTTTTCGCAGAAGTTCGCCAGAAGGTGGGTTCGGAAGGCTTACTGCGATGTATCAAGCGCGACACGGCACACTACCTGTGAGAGGCCCACTAGCCTCTGCGCAGCTGCCGTGTGAGGATGTCACGCTGTCTTGCCCTTACGCTGGTTCGTGACTGGTGCGGGTGGCGGGCCTGACTGGGCAGCGGCGCTTCCCCTTAAGCAACGCTTGCTTGGGTCTGTGAGCACGCGGGTCGCTTGAAATCCTAGTGGAGGTGGCCATGACGTTCGCCTCAGGCAGTGGCTCTGCGCCTTCCACCTAGCGCAGCAGCTTTCGCTAACCCACTCACGCAGAGTGGCAGCTGTCTAGTTCAGGCCACTCACAAGCGCCCCAGGCTGGCTTGTAGCAACTAAGCGGTCCAAGTTCTCACGGATTGCTTGCCAGCGCACGGGAGCTTTGCAGTGTCCAAAGCCACAAAGCAAGAGTTCAGAGGCGCGCGAGCCATACCCCGAATCATACCCCCGAGCCATACCCCGAACCATACCTGCGATTCATACCCCTTATACCAACCTCCCGGCACGGCGCCACGTCGAAAAAAACAACGACCCTTTTAGCTTCTTAGCTTTTTTATGTTTAGTGAGGTTTTCCAGTTAGCCCACTAAAACTTAAACTTTTTGCGGGGGATCTGAGGACAGCTCGGAAAGATGCAGCACCTGGTAAGAAACCTAGTTGCCAGCGTTTCGTGGCTTACCTGGAATGCTCCTGCAGGAGTCAGGGGAAATCGAGAACGCGGAAGTGGAACATGTGGAGAATGTCAAGGTAGAGGAGAGCATGCAGGACACTAAGACGTCGGGGGCCACAATGAACCGCGAATCCGGCGAGAAGGAGAACAGAGAATCCTGGCTTCAATCAACGGCATTTCCAGGTATGGGCTTTTGAGGTAGAGAGGTTAGCTATTTCAGCATACTTGGCCTTGGCACGGACTCCTTCCGGTCTCCTGGAATTTGCTAGTATCAACTTGCTGGTGTGATAGGGAATGACCTTCCTGGTGTTGGGAATGAACCGGAAGGGGAGCCCCTTGAAGGAAACCGCCAGTTGGATGGTTTTTGTCGGGGTCATTCCATTTCTCATTCCCTGCATCTCTCCTAGGTCCCCCAGTAGTGCCCTTCTCTCCCCATTTTTTGGGGGAGCCCCTACTGAAATAGACAAAACCGAAAAAAGTTGGTACCTGAAACCCGAACCTCTTTACTGGAGGACCTAGTCTGGCACCAGCAAGTCAAGGACGTGTAGCAGCTTCTCGAAGCCGTGCAAAGGCCAAAGCCCAAAGCCCGGACCCGAGTCCACGAAGATGTCGTTTCGGAACAAAGAATGTCCCGGACCGAGCACACTGCGGGGGGCCGGGGGTGTCACCCACAAAAGTGAGCCGGATGTTCGCTGAAATGGGGCACCTGATCAAAATCATCCAGATTTTTTGTTTCTCTGGGTCAAGGGTGCACCCAAGCGACAGGAGAGATGGGAGTGACGCATTGGTTGAATGGTTTGTTTGGCGTCGAATCAGTCCTGAACTTGTGGATTTGGCAGTCCAGGACTGCCTAGAGCCTCCTTCTACTTCGAATCAAAATGGGTTGCCACGGCCCCTTTTGTGGCGGCGATCCCATGTTTTGTTTGAAGGGCCAGAAGCACGCCAGCTCGCTACCATAGTTACAACATTGGAGTCATTTTCTGATTTTCAGTCAAATCTGTCGACTATGACTGTGAGGTCTCCTCCGTCTGAGAAAAGAATGGGCCTGTTCGAAGCATCCCTTGCGCCACACTCAAAGCCCGGGTAGATGCAGCTTAAGGGATAGTCTCAACCATAGGGGTGGATCTTCATAATTTTGGGTGGACCATTTTGGTATCCCCACCAGGTGCCTTCAAGTGGTTGGGGAGGGAAGGATTTCGACCCTAAAGGGAGGAACCCAAAAATGGGATTGGGGGCTCCCCCTCTGTCGGTAGAGGGCATATGTTAGTCCTGCTCAGATTTGATTCTGACTCGCAAGATGGCTGGGACCTTGAGAAATTCGGACTGTGCCCAACCCGGTGTTATCCCCGGAAGTTCCAACAGCTGCCTCGAGTTTCCCATAGAATTCCTTCCCCCCCTCCCCAACTCCCCCCGAACCCATTTAGCTCCGATGGTTTTCAGGTTCACTTGCTGGGTGAAGAAATGAAGCCGATTAAAACCCGTTCAAACCCATGATTTTATGGTTGCCAGCTGAATTCAGGAGATGAAACTCATTTACAATCAATTAAACCCTTTATTTTACTCATTGATATCCAATTGCGCTCAAACACAATTTCAGGTTCCGGTGAGTCAAGGAAATGAAATTGCCCAGAATGTGTTTGCCCACCCGCCACGTTTGGTTCGTTCATGTTGGGTACGTAGTTTTGTTCGGGTGGCCCACTTCACCTGAGTTAACTTGACTGCTATTGGGTTGGATCTTTAGACTTTAACTTTTTGGGAAATCAAGGTGTTTTCTACTATTTCCCAACAAAGTGAGACACACTTTTTGCAGGGAGGTCCTTACAGCAACCAAGAACATAGGTGCCACTTGTTGTTTATCCCAGGGTAGACCGTTCTCCTTTTGGAGAACATGAACCACGTTTATGTCTACTGTGGGGTAGTCACTTAATCACCATATCACGCCCTGAAGGGGACCCGCCCCCCCAACAATTTTAGGAGGTGTGTTTGAGGGGGTGGTGAGGCAGGGCTCCTTAAAAGATACATTTGCCCATTTGAAACATGTTGCTTCTTCAACACCAAAGTAAAGCACACCACCATTTACAAGACAATGTTCAGGTGTATAATGTAAGGATCCCGGTGTGGTTTGGGTTCCCTACAGCAGCAACCAAACTTTCTACTAACCCCCCCCCAACATAAAGTGCTCCTCCCCCCCCCCAAAAAAAAAACAAAAAAAAGGAAATCAAATCAAATAAAAACAAGTGAGAACCACTTTTTGCAGGGGGGTCCCTACAGCAACCAGAGCTAAGGAGGGAGAGCCCCAAAAACGAGATAATTCAAATTAACTCCAGCCACTCCGCCTAAGGAGATGAAGGTGCCCACCACCTTCAACGAGATGCTCCTCTTCAACGCCTCGGTGATGGGCTTCGGGTCCAGCAGCTGGATGAACATCGTGCTGGTGCAGTGGGACCGCGTTCGCTGTGGAGGTCTAAGAAGGGAACCCCTTGATGGAAACAAACACCAAACACGAGAGCTCAGATTTCAAAGAACCAGGACGTCCACATGGCGGTTGTTGGAGAAAAACATATATATATATATATATTGCTTGTTGTGGTTTAGTGGGAAATCCCCACTGAAGTGCTAAAATTGTATCTTGTTGCTCCCCTTCCAACGTCAACCAAGATAAAGATAAAACACGAGAACTCAAAGAACCTCCAAGAAACAAAACCCCCTCACGCTAGGGGTTGATTCCAACCATTATTGGCAACTACTATTCTGTTCAAAACTCGCCATTTTCCCTTGGGGACTGGGATTCCAGAGGTTTTCCCTGGAAAGAATGGGGAAGGTACGCCTAGATTCACACGCATTCCTGGTTTTGCCAAGGACAAATGCTTCTTGGTTGGTCTTCACTTTGCTTGTTTTTTTTTTTTGTTTTTTTTTTTTTTTTTTTTTTTTCTGGTTTGCTGTTGAATTGTGGGGAACCTCTCAAAAGTGGTGGACATGAGTCCACTAAATGATGTCCATCAAAGCGTCCCTAGTTTACAGAAACACATTCGCAAGTGGTAGAGCGTGCATTTTGGCAATGGGAAGTGGAGCAAGATTGACCTTTTGGTTCCAGCATGTAGCCAAGAGACCTTGGGTTTGCTTATCATACTGTGGATGGACGAAATCCTGCACCACTTTGGTGCCATGGGAAGCCATTGTTCTTGGTATTTACATGGAAATCATCCTTCCGGTGTTTCTTAGTGCGAAATGGATTTCGTCCATCCGCTCGCGCTCCTGAAACAGGGAACAGGGGTCTTGCGGGGCCGGTTGCAAGCAGCACTTTAAGTGCTGGTTTAGAGGATGCCCTTGTTAGACGCATCTTTAAGGACAAGAGAAACGTGAATATACCCATTTGCAGGGCTTGGCTTCCTTGTGCGAATGTAACAATGGGCTGTTTGCCCAGTGTCAATTTCAGCAAGGATCCATATGTCAGGTTGCGCTTGTGGTTTGATTCCCTCGTACTTGAGGGGTGAATGCACAACCAATTCTGGAACAGCGACTAATCCAAACCGTCCAGAATCAAGAAGCAAGTTGAGATTCGGTTTTCACCACTTGTTTGGGTTGTGTTGAAGGGGAACCACGGGAAACCAAAGGGAACCACTAAAATCAAGCACCAAAAGGAGTCTGCTACCCTCCGCAGGTGATGAGTTTGCACTAAAAGGGTTTCCTTTTTTGGGGCGGTTATATTGTTTTGCCCTCCCATCAATTCACCTGGAACCTGACAGCATGATCCTTTCAAAGGGACCCCCTGTCAGGTTCCATGTTAATTGCTGGGAGGGCACTGGTGGCAACTGAACCGCTGGGTATTTGGGCATTGCTTTCTTGTCCGCAAACCTGACACGAGGCGAAGCTCAGCTTTACCGTAGGCGATGATACACTGTCTCCAAGCATCCATGCGATCATGAGCATGACCTAAGGATGTTCATCCAAATTGGGACCCGAAACGCACGAGCCACGGTCAAAATGTTGTGAAATGTCGGAAAGGGGATCCTTTGGACCGGATCATTTCTTGGGTTTCTCGTAAACTTTGAGGTTCTTCCGGCTCCCCCCCTTCCCATACCCCCAGGCCCCATGAGGGATTTGGTTTGGTTGTTGGTGGTTCCCAGCCATTCTGCTAGGTTTTTAGCCTTTTTAGTGTTTAGTGGTTGGATTTCCATTCAACCCACACAAAGTAAACTCACTTCTAGCGGGGGATCTGAAAACGGACAGCCCAGGGTTTCGATTGGTGGCTGTGGGTCAAAACCAATGGTATCCCATTTTGGTTGGTAGGTGAATTCACCACCCATTTTAGAACCTACTTTAGTGGGGATTGGGATGTTCGCTGGGGGTACCGATTTGGTTTTTGACCCATGGCCATGTGGTTGGATTTGGTTCTTGGTGGTTCCCAGCCATCCTGTTAGGTTTTTAGCCTTTTAGAGTGTTTAGTGGTTGGATTTCCATTCAACCCACACAAAGTAAACTCACTTCTAGCGGGGGATCTGAAAACGGACAGCCCAGGGTTTCGATTGGTGGCTGTGGGTCAAAACCAATGGGATCCAATTTTGGTTGGTAGGTGAATTCACCACCCATTTTAGAACCTACTTTAGTGGTTGGATTGGGATGTTCACTGGGGGTACGGGCTTTTGGCCTTTGACCCATGGTCATATATTTAGAATGTGTCAAAGTAGGGCGGACCCGAAGAAAGCTGGCTTGCCGTTTGGTTCCTCATTAAACCAACCTAAAGACCTGTGCCCTCAATAGAACAGCCAGAAAACCACGGAAACCCATGAGGGATTTGGTTTTGATTGCAGGACGACATCGTGAAGAACGTCGCCAACTTCTCCCGGCTGCAGGAGGAGTGCGACGTCATGTCCCTGGTCCTCGCCAAGTGCCCTGGCCCTGGCCGGATGGGACGGCCCGCCGACCTCACTGCAGGACAGTTCTGTCTCGGACAAGTGGTCCTCTTTTTTTTTGGGGGGGGGGGTGGACCAGTTTTGTTGGGTAATGCAAAAGTTTGGACTGTTTTTGGCCCATCCACTCAGGAAGTGAGTTAAGGGTAGTGTCTGTTCGTTTTTTTCTGGAGAGACGACTCACTGTCCGAGTTGCTGGTTTGTTGGCACAGTTTGGGCATGGACCGTTTGAGTGATAAAGAACAGATCGCAACTCGGCCAAATCCGCTTGATGGGAAGTGAGGATACCCGTCAAGGGTAAGTCTTAGATTGAGTCTCGGTCGAATCAACTACAGAAACCTCCGACATCTTCCGACTTTCCCCAGCTTGACGCGGGTCTGTCTTTGTTGAGGGTATCCCCCTTTTCGGTGGTTTCACAGGGAAGCCAAAAGGAAGACCAACGTTTAGGGGCTCCAGCCTTCAAACGACACTCGGTGTTTGCTTCGAGAGCAAAGGACCCCCCCTTCACCCATTTCATTCTTGGGTTTTTTGGGGTTATGGTCCAGCTTCCCCCGTTTGGTGTTGTTTGTGTCGCTTCCTTCCTTTGCAGGCAATCTAGAAGCAAAACAAAGTTTAAACTTGTTGTCACAAAGGTGATTTGAGCCAAGAGGTGTGGGACTCTTGACTCATTTGCCCGTGGTTTGTGTGGTGTTGTGTAGATATCCCCACCTTTTTTAAAATAGAATTGGGGGAGGGCGGTACCCTAATATGGGGAGGAATTGGGCAACCTGCCCCCTTAAGGTAGGGGGGATGTTTTATTAGTCCTTTTCGAGCAAAGCAACGAGCGGCTCAAGGTACAAGGGCAAGATCGAGCTGCCGGAGTTCAAAGCGGTGACGTTGGCTTCCTTGCGGTCCCTTCTCCCTCAGGACGGCTCCGAGGTCACCCAGGTCCCCCAGCGAGCTGCCCTTTACCATTTTTTTTCGGTTGGGCTAGTAAAAATCGACTGCTGGAAAAATTAAGGGAACCCGTATTCTAACCTCTATACTGGAGGACCTAGACTCCCCGTTTTGGAGATCGTTGGAGCAATATGATTCGGCGGACCCGAATTCCGATTTTGGCAGCCAAAGTTGATTCATATGACGGCTTGTTTGGCCACTCGCACGGGGAGCCTCTAGTCAACTTCCATTGGCTCAAGAACATATGTTGTATTTCCCCTTTTGGTTTTAAAGGCGGATGTATCACTACTGGAAATCTGTATATTCTTCCAGGCGGAGAAAAAGCAAATGGAAGACAAAATGTCGACCCCAGAGTAATAAACCCCTTGATTTTGATTGGGGGGGTGTCCAACTGGGTTTTAGTGGGGATTCAGACCACTTTTGGAGGGGTTTTCACCCCCCTCAAGGGACAGGATCTACTTAGATCCGGAGTCAACAATAGCGACTTGACTGGGCCAAGGACGAAGGGCCGTGAACTTATGGCTCTTCTTGCTTTGGCTTTGCCTCCATTTGCTTAAGAATAGGTGTTTATTCTCCCTTGTTGGTTTTAAACGGAATTCATCACTACTGGACATATTTGTTTTTTTTCCTGGGGGGTTAAGCAAATAGAAGTTTGAGTCAGTCGATTGATATCGTTTCATTTTGGAGAACCCGGCTGCGGGGGGTTGAAGGCCGGCTGAAGGGCCGTTGCTCAAGAGAACCCCCGAGGCTTCCCGTCTTATAAATAATATGTATGTATAATATATATATATACATATACAAATGTATATATATATATATACATGTAGAATATATATATATATATATGGGGAATTGAGGCGGTAGAGGGTTGGTGGAATCCTATGAAATGTGGTAAGTGAACCCCCGCTACATTGTGGCAATCTATGAGCTGGACAAACAATTTGTCCAAGCTACTTGCTTCATGTTTGGTTTGCATCCATATGGCTGGGCGTTTGTTGGTTACGGTCAGGGTGAGTTCTGCAGACTCACTTGGATTGGGTCTAACACCCTGCGTGTTTGCTTACTCTCCTACAAATTAGCATGCCCAATAAGGGCATCCCCCAAACGGATTTTCCTCCACAAAGGATGGCTATTTGCATTCCACATTAATTTGCAGGAGAGTAAAGAGTGGGGACAAGACCAGAAAGGCTGAGTTTTGTCACAGGCTTGAGCCAATCTTGGTGTTTTAAAGGGGTCTCTGGGCCCGTTCACGCCTTTCACCATACACCACCACCAGCGTGTTTGTGGAGGTCATGTTCAAGTGGATATCATAAGACCCCCCTGCTTGGCCATACTGGCAGAAGCAAATCCATTAAACCCATCAATCCGTTAAACCCTTGCTTGACCTCCTATGGGGTACCAACGGGTTATGAATATTAGAGGGTATCTTTGGTATGAACCCAGAATTGAGGGGGGTTCCCCTTTGAGAGGTGCTTCTAGACTGGAAAAAATGCGCGCCGCCCGTCGCTTGGCGAGGAGTGGGACTCGGACCATGAAGTCGCCTGGGGATGGCTTTGGGAAAACGTGGAGGGCCTGCTGAAGAACATGCTAGGCGCGGCGGTGCCTCTCTTCACTCACGGCCCATTTTGAAGGGGCAAAGCGACCGACTTTTAGTCCAGAAGGCCTACCTTGAGCAACTGAGTTCATGATGGAAACAGCTGCCGCTGTTTGTGAGAAAGGAACGGGCCATTTCAGTGTCACAAGGGTCATTTGCCATAGGTGACTTCAGACGCTGGCTTTGGCTTGAAGATCATTGGACATCCCTCCGCGGTCGCAAAAAATTCCCTCGCAGGGCCTCAAAGGGAGGGCGCATTGCGCATGCAGCTTGGTCTGCAGGCTCAAAATGCCTTGCCACTTCAAAAGGGGACTGTCACACCCAGAAAGGAGTACGCCACTTAAAAAGGGGACTCTGACACCCAAAAATAATTAGTGCGTTCGCGTCTGCCGGGAGAACCGACGGGCGGATAGGGGAAGGGGGGTTTAGCTGCTTGGCGGTTCCCAGCCATCCCTTTAGCGTTTTAGCCTTTTGGTGTTGAGTGGTTGCTCAAAACGGACAGCCCAGTACTTGTTGGTGTGAACACTTTAGTGGCAAACAAGTTCAGACGTTTGGCCAATCGACTCGGGAAGTGAGTAAGAATACAAACTAAATAAGCTCAGGTATTATCCCCAACAGCATGCACCAGCTCCCCCTTGTTTGGGCTGAGACCCCTTAGCTTTCAGCTGTTGGGGAAAAACCGGCTTTAGCTTGAGGGGCGCACCGGGAAAACAACTCAACGCAGGCAAGCCCAAGTTGCAAGAGCACGCCTTGGAGCGGTTCTTTGGGAATTTGCCGCCGGAGGCGAGCCGGCGGCGAAGGGATTTTTCGGCGCCATTGCCCCTAGGTCCCCCAGTAGTGCCTGCCCTTCTCTCCCATTTGTTGGGGGGAGGGTTCCCCTATTGAAATAGACTACCGAGAAAAAAAAAATACCCTTATCCTAACCTCTCTGCTGGAGGACCTAGACCCCGGTGGGGCTTTTTCATAGGTGCTGAAAACCGTTTTTTCGTTTGAAGGTTTGATACATGTCGACCACGTGGACCCGAATCTTTGGGTTGTGGAAAGTTAGGCTTTAGGTCCATCATTTGTGATACCAAGGAATCCCATTTGACATGACACAGTCATTTATAGGGATACAAGTTCTATATTCTGAACCTTGCCAACGACAAGGCGACTTTTTCAACCTGTGGACGCTTGCAAGCGCTTGCGACACCCACGCATCGGGCGAACACTCCGGACCCCTTTCTGTAACAGGAAGCCTTCGGGGGAAGAGAGAACTAGGTCCCACAGTACGCCCTTTTACCCTTTTTTTGAGGGGAGGGTTCCCCCACTAAAACAGACTACAGAACAAAGTGGGTACCCTTATTCTAATCTCTCTTCTGGAGGACCTACAAGGTTGTCCAATAACAGATCCCCTTCGCGTCCCAGGTCCGTGGAGCTCTAGTCCTCCAGGGAAACGTGGTAGGGATGGCATTCCAGGTTTCGTATCGGCATCCTCACCTAAACGTTTTTTTTTGTTTGTTTTTACGATTTCACCCGGGAAGGGCCCTGTTGAGCTGTCAGTTCCTGGATGGTCGCTCTTTGGGGTTGAGGACCAGGTTTCGGGCGGCAAATGAGAAGTTTGGTGACTTTTCTTGGCAAGCCAACTCGGTCGGAAGTGAGCTTACTGACGCAGTTCCTTTGTTCAGCTTGTTCACTTCCTATGTCCTTGGGACGCCTGAACCAAACGAGGCCAGCCTCAAAAGGTGGCTTCCTGTTGGCCGTTCTTAGCCAGCCTAAAGCCTAAAATGCTGGACGTTCACCAGAAGCTTCCATTTGCGTCTTAAGAACTTGTTTGGTGTTCCTTTGCCGATCTGTCCATCATTGAAATATGTTGCCAGGGGTCTGAAGCAAATGGAGGGAAAGAAGGGACACATTTGTCAGATATTTGGCTGGTCGGGGGAGACTGCCCAAGGACGCCCACCAAAACCTGTCATGTAGTGATGTAGGTCCTGTACTTGGGAACCCCGTCAGCTGAGTGCCATGTCAAGTGACCCGTAAAAGCGTCAATCATGTCCAGCGGGATACCAACATGAGATGACCAATTATTCATTTTGCCAGGCCCCCCGCGAAGAAAAAATGAAGTGCCTTTTCGAGGTTGTCCCTTTTCAGGACCACCCAATCCCCGGGGTTATTGTCACAAGTGGGCGTGTCTCTTGTCGAGGAGGGCCCCGGTTTGGGATTGGGTTTCAAGGAGAACAACAGAAAACTTTCACCAAGTTTTGGGGGATCCGATGCATGCTCATACGTACACGCATGCCATAATTTCACAAAAGGAACTTGCTTACCTGGCAGCACTTGGGGGGGGGTGAATCCCCTCAGCGATCTTAGACACTCATGATTCTAGGGGTACTTTCCCCATTCTTTCCAGGCATCCTTCTTTCGTTTTGAAAGAACGATGCTTGAAAGGAATGGAAAAGGAATCAAGCCCTAGAATGATGAGGCATCCTTACCAAGAGTCCCCCAAAAACAGGAGAGAGAGAGAGAGAGAGACAGAGAGAGAGAGAGAGAGACGATCCCTTGGGCAGCACCAGGAAGCCGTGATGCTGCAGAGGCAGTTGTTTCCCGCCTTCTTTGAGCTGGCGCCCGCTGGGCAGGCACTGGGCGAATCGTTTCAGGGGCGTGTTTGGGGTGTTTGGGGAGAGGCCGGATGTCTTTGCGTAGTTTCTTCTGGCATGGCGGCAACACTCTAAGTTGCATTTTTCAAGTGGGCATACCTCACAAAATGAGTGATTTTGCATGGGTTATGCAGGGTAGCCCAAAATCCATCCCTAGATAAGGCCGATGATTTTTGGACTTCACCTTTTGGTTGAAACAGACACCGGGCTTTCCGAATTGGACCCACACAAAATATTCACTTTTAGCAGAGGGGTCACGCCGACAAGGAATGGGATGCGGAGGGCGGCTTCTGCAGTTCTAACTGGGCTGGTGCCGACTCCAATCATGGGCGCCATGTACACTTAGAGGTTCCCAAAGGCAATAGTCTCCATTTGGTTGGGGACCTTCAAAGCAAGTTGACCATACAAGCATACCGTGTGCAAATTGTTCTGCCCACACCCTGGAGAATTCTTCTTTCGAGACAATGAACCAGGCCATGGCTTCCTTAGAATCACGCGGTACAAAACCCTAGAGCTTCGCATGCGATGCGCTTTCTACGCTCCAGGCGTAGCAAGCTCGGGGGGGGGGGGAGGGGGGAATGGCACTTTCCAATTGGGGACGGATACCTTGTAAACATCAAGTTCTGTTGGTGGCTCAAAAGTCGCACCCCGTTTGTCTAAGCAGTGACAGCAAAGCCTCATGTGGTCAAACGACTAGCCGCTGGGCCTGTCCGTAAGGATGCGTGTGAACTCTGGGCAAAAGTGTAGGCGTAGGTGTGCACTTCACTTAACTCAGAGTAAGGGTCCACTTGGGAAGCATATTGGCTCACGCGCTTCCCGCTTCGACTTTACGCAACATCATGCCTTTGTTTTGCCACGGGCCAGGCCGGGGATGATTTCCACCCTGACTAAATCGCCTGCACTGGGGTCCGATGCCGATGCCTCATTCGCCGATCAGGACTTTTTGAAGCAGTCGGCCACCCGAATCAACTTCATCGCGGACAAAGTTCTGGCAATGAGTTTGGAGATGCGCCTTGGCCGGTTTCGCCATCCGGCCCCTCAAGGTTTGGGATCATTTTTTGGTTGGTTTAGCCTTTGGTGCATTTGGCCAACGGCTGCTAGGACTTTAACTTGCAAACTAATGGGTTTTCCACTAAACCACTAAAAGATAAACTTTTAGCAGGGGAGCAGAAAGCAACCGAGTGGGCGGGTGTAACTTAGCCCACACGTTTTCAAATTTTGGCCGGGAGCAGAGAACGGACAGCCCAGTTGAACTTCAATGGTGAGGCCAAACTCTGTGAGTCGACTTGACCTACACACTTTGTGAGGACCACACCTCTCAAGGGAAACCTTGGGGAATGCTGGAATCACTCAACATAGTGTGGACAGACAGAACCCTGCGCCAGCTGGAATTCATGAAGCCCCATGACTCTTGGGAGGAGCCAACTGGCGTAGGACTTGTACATCCACAGTAGGTGTTGCTTTGCCTTGTTTGAGGGTTGTGCCGTGCTATTTGGATCTATTTGGGTTCCCCCCCAAGCTTCCCTGAGCTGTCGCCTCAGAGTATGTCAGTTTGAAAAAATGGCAGCCAAAGGAGGCTAAAGGAGGCTTGCACAAGTTTTTGTTTGGGCATGTTGCAAGAGAAGCTGTTGGCTCCACCCCTTTGAAAAACTCATTGCTTCCAACCCCAGCCAATATGCCCTTTTTCAGTGTCAGAAATAAGATGCATGACGGCAGCGGCCAAGGGAGCCAGCGGCAAGAGCATACGAGCATACCCCACCTGATTAAAAAAACAAAATCCAAGGGTTGCTTTCTTGGCGTCTCAGAACATTATCCTTGTTTTGTTTATCCAGGGACAATCATACATATATATATATATACATAGATTGATACACATACGTGTATATATGTATATACATGCATACATACATTCAAAGATAGTTTCTATAACTATGCGCATACTAACATTTAGGTTCTTTGGTGGCTTCTTGCGTTGATCTGATTGTGGTGTGTTGTGAGGATTTTCGGGCATGCACCGGACCTTTGAAACTTGGCCCACGATGCTACTTTGCACACCAGGTCCTTTCTTGCGCATCCAGGGTTTGCTTCTCTGACAATGTCGTCACTAGACGAAACAGAAGGAACCACGTTGCGACAGAACAAGCCGCACTAAAAGCAATAACAGTACGACGACTTCAGCCAGACTTCAATTTTTACTTACCACTACTTAGCAAGGTCACTGGCGCACCTTGGGCGCAATGAGGCTGAGTTCACAATTTGTCGTGCGCGAACCTACCGGATACGCAACTTCAATCGTCGGAACAAAAGCGATGAACTGCACGAGACGCCCAACGACGGATGACTCCGGAAGAAGTAAAGGGGATTTCTTGGAATCCGGCTGGATATGATTTGCCTGGCAAAAAGCGATGACTCTAAGATTCCATTTTGCCCCACCGTGTCGTCCCAACGCAGGCCACAGAGCCTCTTAGGACTACTTTCCTCTTGGGATGTTTTTTTTCGTGGGCGCCCCTGCTCTTGCATGTTGGGTTGGGTTTGTCAGGCGGACCTATGGGCCAATGCAGGTCTTTGGTTCTGGAAGCCTTGGCTTTCAGCAGGTGATAAATGGCGATGGGTGCCTTTTTTTTAAATAAGGAATCGGACTTGTGCTCCTCAAGGGTGGGTTTTCCTTTTGGCTCACCCTTTCAAAGCGCAATAACGGGAAAATCCCTCAAAACAGACTCTCGTAGAGCCAAGGGTCGCCAAAAGGGGGCAGGCAAGGGTCTTTTAATATTGTCTTGTTCCAAACCCCTGTTAAGCACCCGGTCAGGCCAGTGTTTGTGAGAGCAAGGGGACATATTGGTAGGGATAATGTTGTGATGGGAATCAGCTATCATTTTGGTGGTGTTTTTGGAGCCCTGCCATGTTGGTGGGCGGGTTAATGGGGGGTGAAAGCAGTGTTTTTTAGATGTGATTTGTGTTTTCGTGTTGTTGGCTTTTTACTTGGTGCTTGATTTGTTCGTTCGAAATTCAGATGTGTTGGTATCGCGTTCGGTTGCGGCCCCAACATGCAATGCGTTTGCCTGCTGGCATCCATATGAAGCGCGACTGTCGGATCCAAGCGCTGTTCTACTTCCTGGAGTTACACACTGTGAACATGTCCTAGCACAGACTAGACATAGCCACGCTTTCCCTGGACATAAGCCAGACATTCCAAGCGATTGTGATCCCAGGCTGTGATACAAAGGCTGACCAAGTCCTTTAAGGGTGTCTCATTGCAGACATCCCCATAGGGCCGAGAATTTCTGAGTACCCACGAGTCGCCGGCTTGCGTCTCACTCCCTAAGCTCCTAGGACTTTGACTTTTGTTTGGGTTTGGCCCATCTTGTGGTAAAATGGTTTACTTTTGTGGTTCAAGCCCCAAAAACTCGGCCTGTTTGTGGTAAAAAACAGTAATCATTTTTTAACACTTTTTGTGGTAAACAGACCTTTTTTGGTTACTTTGTTCGACCCATCCACTCGATCGGAAGTGAGAGGAAGAGGCGGTAGAGGTAAGCTGAAAGGGTTGGGAAGCTATGCTTCAGGTACCGGTCTCCGCGGCGCATGGTGGAAGAGATCTCTGCAGTGGGCTTGCGGCACGTGGGCTACGCCGTGCCTACGGAGATGTTTCTCAGAGCTGAGACGCTGTTCCACTTGGGGTGTGGCTCAAAATTAACGGAGCTGGGGTTACGCAGGTTTTAGTCTTTGTTTCCATTTACCGAGGAGCCATTTTGGGCACATCTGTTGAGCCACTGCCATTTGGGTCTGTCCTTTTTTTGAGGCTCGGTTACAATAGTTGCCACTACCCGCAAATCACCATCCCACGTGGGAATATACAACCACCATACAACCATCTGCTTAAGAAGAGGTTTAATTTCGCCTTGCCGGTTCTAAAGGGAATCGTTTCACTGGACGTATTTTTATTTTTCCAGGGGGCGAAACAGCGAATGGAAGGCATTTTGATCTTCCCCGGGACTGGATCGTGGACCCCTCTTTGGCATTTTCGTTGGGGGGGTTCGTTTTCGCGTTTTTTGTCGGTTGAGTGGTTGAAATCCAACGTAATTAACTGCGGAAATTTATGTTTTTGTTGCTGCCCTGCCAAGGTCAACCAAGTTTAGATTGGAATTTTCGTTTGGTGGTTTTGAAGGGACACCTTTTGCAGGGTACCTCCAGGTTTGTGGTTTAACGGGAAGCAAGAGGAAACCCGTTTGAGTTTGGGAGGTCCGATTCCCAAAAAAAAGACATCGAGTTGGTTGGATCGGGAACCGACACGCCCCCCCTGAAAGGAGGGAAGGCCAATAATTTGGCATGTGACGTGCATGTGTGTCGAAACTCTGCGAACCCGGGGTGTCTTGCTTTAAGGGTACCCTTTTTGGGGTTGCTTTAAGGGGAAACCAAAAGGACGACAAACCATGTTGGGGGTTACCTAAAAGAAGACACGCCCATATTGTCATTTGCTAGCCACTTTATGAAGATGACACTCCCCACTGATTTGCCGATGCAGTTCTCACTCACTGAGTTTCTGGGCTTTTGTTGCTTTTTGGGTTTGGCCAGTTTTAGTTGTACCGGGAAACAACAAGTTTGGACTTGTCGGCCCATCCACTTAGGAGGTGAGTCAAAGGAGGACACTTCCCCCGAGCAAAGGTGCAGCAACTGATGGAGTCCCATGGGAGAGAATTCGACTCCCTTCCCCACCCCGAAGAAGTAAGTCGGCTTCGTATCATACATATCCCACTTAAAACTTTATGGCTATTTGGTTGGATCTCTCGACTGTAACTTTTTGGGAAACAGGGGATTTTCCATTGGACCCACAAAAAGTGAAACTTGTTTACGAAGGGGTCAACAGCAACCGAGAAACAGCCTGTGTGCAAGTGCTAAATCCCACTGAAGGGCCAATTTTTACTGCGGCTTTTAGAGACTCACCTAACGCTGTGGCAGATGTGGACAATGAGCCGGTTGAGGGACATGCTTTTCTGGGTGTATGAACATGGCTTGTCTTTGGTGTGACCTTAGCCCCTTGGACTTCCATGTGCTTAAGAACTTTGTTTATTCTCCCATGTTGGTTTTGAAAAGAATTTATCACTACTGGAAATTGTTGTTTTTCCTCCGGGGGTCTTAACCAAATGGAAGTAAACCTTTTGGATATAAATTGGTTTTCCAGCAAACCTGCAAATGGTGAAGACCTTTTGCTCCGACAGAGCACGCAAGTTCTTACCTCACCCCCGAGACACCCAGTGGTGCCCGTTTCCCGTTCATTGCAGACCTTTGTGCCTTTTTGACATTCCATCATCCAATTTAATTAGCAACAAGTGGTCACTTTGTCCAGCTCGTTCCCTGAAATTGAAAACACAACACACAAGCCCATGTGGTATCCTCAACAGCCCCGGAACCTCCTGGAGCCGAATCTCTTGAACCTTCCCTGCAAGATGCAACCCAAACCACCCCGAACGCCTAGTTGTGCCTATCGACCAACCATAGCTTCCAGCGGTTGGTCGGGCAAAATACAGTGATCCCTTTTGAGGTCACTAAACATGGGAACCCCAACTAGCGGAACTAAAAGTTCAGATCTGGTTGATTCGCCTTGGATGCCAGTGAAAGAGATGCGCCCTGCCCGTGCTTTGGATGTTGGATCAGTCTGGCGAACCGTTCGCCAACCGTCAGGCAGACCACCAAACCACCAAGCCACCTCGGCTTCGGCTCCAAACCACCAAATGAGGGTAGATGGGAAACCACTCCCTAACCACCAAAGCCACTGATTCGGCTTCAAACCAAACAAAAGCCACTCCAATTCACCACCAAAGCCACCGACTCGGCTCCAAACCAAGCAACGGGGGAAGCTGACGCCCCCGAGGTTCCCGCCCTTTGTGAGCGCCTCAGTGGCCCTGATGCAGCGCTTCACCACCGAAGAGCTCCTGGGCTCGGCTCGGCTCGGTCGCGAGGGGGTCAAGGGGGGGCGGGCTCGGTGGCGGTTGGACGCGCGACTGGACGCGGATCACGGTGCGAGGGTTTCCATCATGGCAATGAGCATCCTCTTGCTGGCTGTTTTGACAGGTATGGATTTCCGGATGGGAATGAACCAGACGATCGATGCGCTTGGCCAATCATTCCCTCACTCGCGAAGCAACAAGCTAGGGACGATTTTCGGATAGGTTTGGGAGCCACTAAGAGCTAATACCCCCTACACCCAATACCCACGTTTTTCAGGGTATGATGTCGACCCTCTACTAAAAAAGGAGGTATTTACCATGGAAAACCCGGTTTTCCCTGAAAAAAAAGCGGGTATTTGGAGTAGGGGGTAGGGGATAGACGGGTAGGTTCGGAGGTCCATGCCCCGGACATCGGATCGGAGAGCCGGAGAGCCGGAGAGCCGGAGTGAGCCGGAGTGAGCCGATCGATTCCGGAAGTTTCCTCATTCCCCGGGTTTTGCATTTGTTTGTTTGTTTGTTTGTTGGACTTACTTTAGGGTTGGGACTACTTTTCCTAGCTTGAGAATCTGTTCTTCAGTGATTAGCACTGTGGATTGTGCGGGTACGGATTATCATTATGCAGCTTGCGGATTGCAGAGCGTGGGTCGTAAGGACGTTAGGTGCTCCAGCATGAGGTTCCAACCCACAATCGTCATCACAGACTACGGATCAAGAACAAAAGCCAGCCGGAACAAGGATGAAGCAGATCACGGGATTCCTCCATTTGCTTACTACTATATATTTTTCCTGGGGCCTGAACCAAATGGAAGGATTCGGTTTCAGCCCCCCCCCCCCCCCCGGGACACCGGGATTTCGAACTGCCTCTTACTGACGGTGCTTTTGGAATTGTGAAGTTGACGGTCTTAATGTTGTCTAGCCGGTGGTTAGAGGGGAGCCAAGGAGCTGAGGGTATCCAACTCTGCTTTTATAGAGGGAGCGGTGCAGGAGCTACCATGAGTCCCGCAAGCACTCGCGAGTGGTTCACTTCCAAACCCCTGGTGCTCTCCATGGATTTTCCCCGAGGCTGGTAGTGCAGGCCTTCCGCTGGTCCCTGGCGTTGATCGCCAAGATCCTGGTGAGGACCATCTCGGAGGGATCCACTCTGGCGCCTCGGAAGCAGCTTCTCATTCTGTCCCATTTTCGTTTTGTTTTTTTTGTTTTTGCTGTTGAAGGGAGCTCCCAGGACGGGTTTGTGTATCTAGGGGTCAACATTTGCTAGGCCAGCCTTGGTTGGTGGTTCTGTTTGGTGGTTTGGGTTTGCGAGAGAGAGGGAGATAGGAAAAACAAGTTCTTGTCGAGGGTACATGTGAAGCCACCCAACCTCTACACCTCCAAACCTCTCACTTCCCAAGTTCCTGAACTTCAAGCTTTTTGGTAAGACGATTTCGTGGCAACCCAGGAGTGCGGTTGCTGTTTTTGGCCAATCCACTAGATGGGATGTGAGGGAGGCTATGATGTCATTTGACGAAAGAGATTTGGGTATGGGTGAAAGTCAATCCACCGGAGAAAAGAAAACAAAACGCTGGTGTTCGCCTTTGTTTCCATCTTTCAGGGTTCCATTTCGGGCTCCTATGTTTTTGTTTCCATGGTTTCAGGGTTCCATTTTGGGCAAACCCTTCCTATTTGATTTTTCTGGGCGCCACGCATCCATTTTCAGCTCGGCAGGTGATGAAGGCCATCAACACCAACCAGAAGAGCACATTGAAGAAGGCGAAGACGTCGCAAAGAAACACGTCGAAAAAAGGGACACAGGAGGGTCCGGTTCCAGGTGTGTGTGTGTGTGTGTGTTGTTTTTGTTTGTTTTTGTTTGTTTTTGTTGCTTTTGTTTGTTTTGGTTTTGGGGAGGGGGAGCCCTTTTTTCGCCATTCTTGAGGGAAACAGAGTCCATGAAGCCTGAGAGCGCGGTTTGAACATGTGCGCAGAATGGAGCCGTTTCACGGGGCATACGGGAAGTTCCGTTCGGTTCCAGCGCACGGCCCTACTGAAATAGTTCTGTTTTGAGGGTGCTGTGACTGATGAACGCCACCACTGAGGTGGCACCGGTGAGGTACAGCTCTTCACTGAGAACAGGGAGGGCCCCCAGTGGCAGTTCCCACTTGCTTTCCGAGCTAGCCGAACTCGTTCCTCTTGGGCTTCCAGGGGCCTAAGAACCTGGTTATGCAGGGGGGGTTCACCCAGAAATGTGATGGATTGCCACACCGGGTGGGGACACCGGGTGTATTGATCCGGGTCATCAGCTAAGCCTCAATTGGTGGTTTAGATCGCACTTCTTGTTCGTGTAGAGGGTTTTCTCGGGTTTTCCCACGCCTTTCCAGCTGGAGGTTTTAGGGGTCCTGTTTGGCTTCCTTGTCCAGGGGCCAGATTTCTAGCTCGGCTTTTGAAAAGCGTGTGCTGATCTCCATTCGGCTGATACCCAAGTCAGGGAACTAAGGGAACCCCTCTAATCTAGCGTGGCTTACCATGGTTCTTTGGAGTATGATTGGTTTACTTGCAATATCTAGGGCATCCACCATGGCAAAGAGTTGAACGACCCGAGCCGTCCCATAATTTGGGCTCATGCTTGATGTCGCCCAATGAATCATTCTGAATGAACAAAGGGGTGTTCATGAATTTATCAACCAGGGGTGCACGAACATGTGGGTGCGTCCCTTTTTAGGGCCGCGCCCGCAAAGCAAAAGGTGTTCCTTGTGGTTTCCATTTTAAAACCTGCCAAAAAGGGGAAGCAACTCCAAAACACAGCCATATCCTGCTGAATTGGCCAACTTCAACCTCCAGTTGCTTAAGAATATGTGTTTTGTTGATTTTCCCTTGTTGGTTTTAAAAGGAATTCATCACTACTGGACATATTTTTCTTTTTTCCCGGGGCCTTCACCAAATGGAAGTTAAGCTTTGGGTCGAGGCCCAGACAGTTGGAGCCTGGTGCCAGGCGATGGATGTTTGTCCGCGAGGCGGCCAGGGCGGGCAGCCAAAACCTGGACCTCCAGTCCATTTTTTCCTCACAGGGTTGCCAGTGGTTTGTGTTAGGTTAGGGTAGCCCATGATGGAGCTTCTGTTTAAAGATAATTTCAGTTGTTTGTGTGTTTCTTGATGATGGTGATAACTACTTCACGTCCTGAGTTCCGTTAAGGTGACCTTAGTCACTTGTTGGGTTTCGTTGCCATTTTAGTGGCCGAGTTTCCCCGTGTGATTGGAGGGGTCTGCCACAAAAGGGTGCGGTACCAATGGACTTGGGTCGAGCACGACCCTCATAGATTCATTTGAGCCACTTGCTCAAAACCCGGGTAGATGAAGGTTAGGGACAATCTCCTGGCATAAATGGTTGCGGATATCGGCCTGTTCAGTTCTGTATATGGTTCTGGGTAGACCATTTTAATATCGATCGGTTTTGATTGTGACTCATTTTGCCTTTTGCACCTGCCCCTCGAGGTAAGGAGGACACACAAACCTCGCGGAGTAGGGGTGATTCGCACTAAGGATTAACCACTAACATGGAAGTCCTGGCCTGTGCACTTCCATGAAATCGTTGGTGGGAGGGTATTGCTGGGCTGGGCTCGTCTTTAAAGAGGCAGCCTCTTTTCAAAGGTGTCACCCCTCTATGCTTCAAGACCATCCCCCAAGCTCTTGGGTGGTGATGGAATCGATGGCATCCCCCATGCAATCCGGTCCCTTTGGGATTCCTTCAGGTTGAGTATTTTCAACGGCAGTGGGGTCGTTTCCAGCCCCGAGACATGAAGGTAGCCGAATTTTCTTCCCCAGAAAAAAAGTTCCCCCTTTTACTTTTTTTGCTTTTTTTTGGGGTCCCCTTTGCCACAAACCAGGCAAAAAAGATATTATTTTGCTGGGGTCCTCTTCTTCCAGCCTAGTTTTAAGGTCAAGGCTCGCGTCGGGTCAGCAGACCTTCAACCTGATCTACACCCAGTTTCAGTGACACCCTCAATCAAAATACCCCTTTTTGTTTGGTGGCTTCAGGAAACGCGTCCAATTCTTCTTCTACTTTGGGTTGCTGGTTGCAACGGCTTAAGTCAACACATCTGGGGGAGGGGGGTGGGGGTGGGATGGAACGTGTCCGAATCGGGGGCTGAATTGGTGGGTTCCCGCGTGAACAGAGAGCTGAATGCCTTTTGCTGACAACTTTTAGAGGGGTACCCCAGTTAGAACCCATTGGTGATATGTGAAAAATATCGAAATAGGGATATTCTTTGGTGATGTACTACCCTCTATCTTACAGGGGTGCCCCATTGCTGGGGCTCCCAATAGCTCCTTTCAGCAGGCTCCCAATATCTCATTTGCGAAAACGGGATCCTCCCCCCAAACAAAAGCCTATGGATTGACTCCCCGTCTCTCTTTACCCCATGTTTTCCCAGCTTGGCCCATGTTTTGAAGAGAAGGATCCCTGAAAGGAATGCGCTGCGTTCGCTGGGTTTCGGGTCTCTCCCACTGAAGAGTCGATGAGAGGCGTGGCTGTGGAAGTTAAGGCCATTTTCTATTTCAAAGCAATCATGGGGATCCATGTTGGTTCAGAAGCCTCCAGTTCCATTTGCTGCGTCATTGGAACACATGTTGGGTCTTTGTGGCGGATACCCACTTTTCAGTGGGTTTTTCAATGAAAACACAACCGGAAAACCCCACGTCTCGCCAGTGTTTGGGGATCCCATTCCTGATATTCAGAAACAACTGAACAGATATATTATGATGAGTAAGTAGTTATATATTATATATATATATGTATACATTTATATGACTGTGATTTGAAACATGACTTAAGCAATTAAACATATATACAAAACATAAATTAGTTGGACAAGTTACATAACATGTACATTATACAATACATTATACAAATATATTATATAAATACAGTTGTTGAACATAAATTAAGCAACTTTATTATACAAAGCATGAGTTAGTCATTCGGATAAATTACATAAATTTGAATTAGCCAAACATATTATATGACACAAAAATGAAACACATGAATTGTATAAACCATAAATTAAACAAATGATGTTTAGAACGCATAAATTAATCAAATAACTTATTTGAAATACAAGTGAAACCACTAACTTATATAACATATAGATTAAGCGAATCAATTATATCAGATATAATCCAAACAAATACGTACATTTCAACTTGAGCAAATAAGTTGGATAAACTGTACATTACACAAGTAAATCATATAAACATAAATTAAAATATATTACTGGTGCATGAAACTTAAATTAAGCAATAACGGTATATGAACTATGACTTACACAAACGAATTACACAACACATAATTTAACAACTAATGTTGTAAAACATGAATTGAAGTATATCAATTTTAACTTAGTTAAACAACATATGTAAAACAACAGTTACACACGTGCATTATGTAAAGCATAGATTGAACACATAAAACGTATAGCCTATAAATGAAACACATAAATCATGCAAAGTATAAACTTAGTGAAATAACTTACACAACACATTAATTAAACAAACCTATTATATAAAACATAGATTATGCGAACACATTAAACAACATAACACTAGTTCGATATAATTATTGATATCACAACCAAGAAGCACCCGGGGGCGTTGTTTTGTTCTTCGCTTCGCTGGGGAGGTCAACGGGCCAGCGAGCTGCTGAGCATCTCCGTGGGCACACAGTCCATCTCGCCCTTCTATTGGTCCATCGACAGCGGCCCCGTGGCTGCGGTTGGTGGGGGTCTAGTCCCCTACTAAAACAGGCTACGGAAAAAAAGGGTACCCTTATTCTAACCTCTCTACTGGAGGACCTGGGCAGTGGCATTTTCCGTGGGTGGGGTGGGGTGGGGTGGGGTGGGGTGTGGGAGGTGGGGTGTGGGAGGTGGGGTGGGGGAGGTGGGGTGGGGGAGGTGGGGTGGGGGAGGTGGGGGTGGGGTTTGGTTGACTCACGAACATGGCTCACTTGGGGGTTACTGACTAGGTCCCCCAGTAGTGCCCGACCTCTCACCCCTTTCTTGGCTGGGAGGGTTCCCCTACTAAAATGGACGTCCTGAAAAAAGTTGGCACCCTTATTCTAACCTCTCTACTGGAGGACCTGGGCAGTGGCATTTTCCGTGGGTGGGGTGGGGTAGGGTGGGGTGGGGTGTGGGAGGTGGGGTGGGGGAGGTGGGGGTGGGGTTTGGTTGACTCACGAACATGGCTCACTTGGGGGTTACTGACTAGGTCCCCCAGTAGTGCCCGACCTCTCACCCCTTTCTTGGCTGGGAGGGTTCCCCTACTAAAATAGACGTCCTGAAAAAAGTTGGTACCCTTATTCTAACCTCTCTACTGGAGGACCTAGTGGGGGTGGAGGTGGAGTTTTGTTGCCTGTTGGGTATTCCTGTTGGTTCTCCTCAAACAACAGAACATGGGTACCCTCAACAAAAGACAGACCCACATGTAAGAGAATATCATTGTCACTTTTTGGGAAGATCAGGTTAGTGGCACGCAACAAAAGTTTGGTTGCATTTTTTGCCATCCACTCAGAAATGAGTACATGTTGACAACGAGCTTTGGAGGGCCATGTTCGCCTTGTTTTCACAGGGTTGCTGAAAGGACCTAAAAGGGCACATGTTGGTCCTGTTAATGTTTGTTGCTCGTTTGTTCGACGCTTCTGAGCATTTGGGGCATACACATTGGTAGCATGTTTGGAGGTTGAGGATCTCGAGGTGACAAGCTGTGCTATGAAGGGAGCCCACGCACACCGCTTCATGGGAGCCCCCCCCAAAAGCAACCTTGCCTGGGAAGACTCAAATAGACCGAAACTGGAGGTGAGTTTGGATTGGCCGCGTGTTTGGGGCTGGTCGAAGCAGTTGTCTGAAACATGTTTCTCGGCAAAAATGACGAGGTCGCCTAAAGGGTCCAGTAGTGCCCTTTCACCCTTTTTTGCTTGGGAGGGTTCCCCCACTAAAATAGACTACATAAAAAAGGGCACCCTTATTCTAACCTCTCTACTGGAGGACCTAGACAAGCTCCTCACTCACGAAGATGGCTTACTTGGGGGTGACTGAAGTCCTCTTTGCAACAAATCGTCCCCCATTTGCTTAAGACTATTTTCTATCTTCACTTTAGAAGGAGTTCATCGCTACTGGACATTTGTTGTATTTTTTTCCTGGGGCCTTATGCAAATGGAAGTCACGGGAGGCACCGGAGTCCCAGGGAGTAAGACCACCGTCGTTTCCAGGGCATTGGAGATCCACTCCCCACGAGTTTGTTTGGGGAGAGGGTGTAGCCATTTGCCCAGGGTTTGTGTCACAAATGGGGGGAACACCCCAAAGTAGTTTCTTTCCTTTCCAGTTAAACCAAGCCAAGGGGGGGGGGTACAAGAAAAATACCAGAAAGACACACCCAGCTCGTTTCAGAACAAACTTAGATCCTGCCCCCCGAGTAGAACCCGACAGGAGCTGGTGCGATATGGTGCGATGATTTGGTTTTCGAAGCGACTTGCTTCGGGCCTCGGGTCCTTATGGTTCCCGTTGGCTGCGAATCGCTAGGCCTTGCTTTTACGTTTTACCCGAAGAAACCGGGTGTGCTGAGTCCATTTGAGTCCCTGAGGTCCTGAAAACATGATAATTGCTTTTGGAAACTGGACTATGTGGCTAGGTCTCCCAGTAGTGCCCTCTTACCCTTTTTGTTGCCTACCAAAATAGCCCTTATTACAATTATTCTAACCGCGCTACTGGAGGACCTAGGTGGCAAACACCAAGTCCAGTTCCCAGGCATCGACGTTTGGCTCCTAAAGGAGCAAAGGGATTGACGTATCCCACGTGGGACGTTTCATGTTCTTCCATTTGCTGAAGAATGTGGTTTTTACTTCCCCCTGTTGGTTTCAAAGTGATCTATCACTATTGGAAAAATTAGGTACAATCATTTTTTCCGCAGGGCTTGATCAATTGAAGGCGTTTAAGAAGTCAAGGGAGGGATCACGACATGAATCAGATGCCCGGCGTCTATATGACTGATGGGGTCATTTGCACAAAGCCCAAAGGGTTTTGAGGGCCCGAGGTTGCGCGCATCGCGCAGCTGAGGTGCGCTCGTGTGCGCTCAGACCATTCTGGAAGACCTGCTGACCATCCGCGCGGACCGCGTCCTGGATGGGTTTGACTTTTTGACCCCGAACAAACAGCAACAAGCTGACCGGGGCGTTTTAGAAGACTACTTTCCTTTTTTGGGAGTTGTTTGGTTACTATAACTTACATGAGTGTTGGAAAGAGTAGGGCCCCGTTTGGTTTTCCCCTTGCATGGGAACTGGTTTAAACAAAAAAGGGAAATAGCCTAGGCTGGGTGGCTAGGGGGCTGATTGGTTGCTTGGGTGGGTTCCACCCTTAGATGGGTGGGTGGGTGGTTGGTTGGTTGGTGGGTTGGTTGGATAAGCCTTTGGCCCTCTTGGCCTGGCCACGTTTTTGACGGGTCTTCGGGAGGCTCCCGAGCTCCAGTCGTCGTTTTTTTTTGGTTTTGTTTTGTTTTTTTCCCTAAGACCCCAGAGGTGCTTGGTTTTTGGTTTTGGTTTGCGTGGTTTCCGTTTGCTTGCTGGTGCCCAGTAGGGCAGGGTGTTGAGAATGAACTTAGGGATTCCCTCAAAAAAAACCTAGGCGTTGGTTTCTAGGTCATTGGCTCATTGCTGAGAAGATCTCGACTTTGCCTGGAGTTGGCTCCCCGAAGCCCGGCTGGCTGTGAAGATCGTGTGGCGCGTGGCTGCTGTCGACGTGGTTGCGGTCCGGGTGCAAGGCTTGCGGCGCGGAAGCTCCGGAAATGTTCGCCGAGCCTTGCGTTCCGCGTCCTGTCTCCCTCTCAGCCAATCCAAGGCTCCATAACGCTGACGGCTCAGTAACAAACCTCGAGTTATTAAACGGAGAGAAGGGTCCAGAAGGGAATGCCTACCACAGCCCCCCCGCATTTTCTAGGAGCCGGTTGGGGTACACCCCTTAGTTGAAAAAGTACGTTTTAGCCATGGTGAAGGCACCAACACGCACTGGTTAAAAAGGCTCTCTCCTTCTTTGACACGCCCAGGATAGTCCCGGCTGCAAACAGGTGCGGACATCCCACTTACCTCCGTCCCCTCCCACCCCATTTTGCACCCCATTTTCCATGTTCATTCCCCGTATTGATTATGACTGAGGAGGCAGGTTATTTTTGTTTCTGATTTGTTGGGTGGTTACATCAAGGAAGCCGCCCCCTGTTTTGGGTGGAGTTTTTTCTAGTCCCAAACCCAGGGGATGTCTACTACTACGGGTGCGACCACCTCTTCACGCGACACCCGGAAGTGATCCAGCGCCTCTGCCTGTCGGCCCCGACGTTGCTGCCGACCTTGCTGGCAACTCAACTGAATCGTAGCTTGCCAAGTTTCCTTTGGTGCATTTTGCTTGGCTGTTAGGACTTTAACTTTTTGCCAACTAATGGGTTTTCCACTAAACCACTAAAAGTTAAACTTTTAGCAGGGGAGCAGAAAGCAACCGAGTATTTCCCATTCAACGGAGCCTCGAGGGAGCTTGGAGGGAGGTAATTACCATCAGGTGGGAACATCTATTTGAGTAAACGACGCGTTGGGATCCGGAAAGGGAACGAATGGCTGGCGTTTTATATCGACCAGATGCTCCAGTAGTGCCCTTTCCCACCCCTTTGTTGGTTGGGAGGAACCCTCCCTACTAAAAATAGACTACAGAACAAAGTTGGTACCCTTTACTGGAAGGCCTAGTTGCCAAATCCCAGCGAATCGCCCGGTTGAACTTAGCTTTATAGTTGTTCTTAGTGGATTTAATGGTGAGTGCCCATTTAAACGGCTAGAAGTTATTCACTTTTGGGAGGAGCTCTGAGGACAGTCCAGATGGGAAGTTGAGGGGCAAGGGTTGGGTTTCTAACTCCTGAGTTCCCTTTGGAGGCAACCCAAACAATATTTGGCCGCGACTAAAAACGGACCAAACAGGGGACACTGATGGGGGAAAAAAACAACTATGTGGATGATGGCGAGCTCCATTTTGCACCGCGAACTGAACACGTGGTTGAAACCAGAACGGTTGTTGGTATTTGCGTTGCGAATCCAATCATTCCCTCAGGTGGTGCGGGATTTCCTCCATAGAAGGTTGGGGGCGGGGGTTGGGTTCTGGGCATTCGTCATGGGTTTCGAGCTTTCCGATTCTGGGGTAAATCCAGCTCGCCATGATATGTACTTGGATTGCTTACTTCAGGTAGGATCGATTGGTCACATAATTTCTTCAGTGTAGCAAGAAAACCAGCCATAAACCCCCGTAATGGGAACACAGTATTAAGAGACTCTTGGTTGATTGGGGGCCGCTCCATCAGGGAAACCTTCACTTCTGCGGCAAAAATCCCGAATAGCGCACCCCTGGTTGCGGCAAGTTGTCGCCGCGTCCGTCCGAGGATGGGCTCATTTGGCGCTCCCGCCAAACCAAGGAAGGCGGGACCCGGGACCCGATACGATCCGGCGACCGCTCGATGGCAGAAGGCGAAACAACCTCGCTCAGGTGCATCAACGATTTTTTGACATCCCCAAGTCGTATGTGTGAAAATAGGGTCAACGATGTTTGACACTTAAAATACACTTGTTCTTGCATCAATGATGTTTGACATCTTGTATGGTTGCTTTGTATCCCCCAATGGGTGGCTTGAATTGGTGGCTTGGATTTTGGATTTGAACCCCTGGTCATTGTAGAGGGTAAATAGGAAACCACGTCTAACTCATTAAACCAGGCTGCAACACACTTTGCTAAACCACCAATCTAACTAACGGTTGTGAAGCCGAAGCCAAACCACCAATCAGAGTGGGATCCGTTCACCGCAGGTCGGTACCCCACACTTGGCGTCATGTACCAACCATGTAGTAAATAAATGGGCAACATCGCCGTGAAAGTTTTCGTGAAAGTTTTCAATCAGTATCTGGGTATGCCTTTTTTTGGGACTCGGACCCCCAGATTTGGCGCAACGGTTTTCCTGGTGGCTTCCCTTTAAAACCAAGCAACAAGGGGTACCGTGAATACAAAGACACACCCTTGCATGGACGAGCCAGCAAAAATATATGTGTACATATATATGTATACACGTACATGCGTGTGTATATATATATATGTATAGAATACATGTATTCACACATATATTAATATATATATATACACACGCTTGCATGTGTTTTGTTTTCGGAGGTGACTGTTTCCTCCGCAGGCATGCGGCGTGTCAACTATTACGTCAAGCACTTGATCCAGGACGCCCGAGTGGAGTTGAGCCGATGCCCAGAAATTGCCTCGGAATCCCTTGGCTTTCATAAGGGGCAACGGATATATTGTCGCGTGTGCCCTGGCATTCAGTAAGTTGCCACCATTCAAACAATCAATGAATACAACCACCATCATTTACCTAACGATGATCATTATCCATATACGGTATTCGTTTAATGGGAGTTGAGCCCTGGGTATGGTGAGTTGACCCCGGATTAATAAACCCTTGGTTGACTCAATTGCGGGTGCCCCTCTTAGTGGGGGTTGACTTTTGTGGGCGACAATTTCCGGTGAATAGGAGGGGTTCTACTTAGATCCGGGTCACCTTGGATCGTGGAGCCTTGGATCCTTTGGGCTCCGGCAAGTCGTCTTGAAGGGGTCTCTACACTTCCCTCCGTTTCGGGAAATCCACTCCCTTCCTGAGCTCCGCTTGTTTCGGACTTTGGTCACTTTTTCCGGTTCGGCGGCCATTTTGGCGGTAAATAGAAAAGTTCGGAGGTGAGCTCGCTCATCCCGAAGCCAGCCATTTTTTGGTTTCAACCAGTCTTGCAGAACAACTTGCGCGCTTAAGCTCGGGAAGCTCCCCGTGTGTGTGTGTGCCCCCTACACCCAATACCCACTTTTTTCAGGATATGATGTCGACCCTCTACTAAAAAAGGTTTGGTATTTACCATGGAAACCGATCGGTTTTTCCATCAACAATACCAACTGAAAAAAACGTTGGTAAAAGCGGAGTAGGGGGTGTGTTTTCTTTTTTTTTTCCCCTTTTCGCTTCGAGGACCTCGAAGGCAATGTGAGCCCGAACCTCGAATGCCTCGTGACCCATGGGGATCCTCAGACCATCCGCTTCCCCGCGGCGCCTCGGTAGAAGCGCGGAACGCGCAAGGGGGGCTTCCGGGGGTCGCGTGCCCCAGCGCTTTTTGTACCAACTTTTTTGGGGGAGGGCTCCCCTACTAAAATAGACTACAGCAAAAAGGGTACCCTTATTCTAACCTCTCTACTGGAGGACCTGGATATGGCAAACCTCCCATTTGCTGAAAGGAATACTGTTTATGTTCCCTTGTTGGTTTTAAAAGGAACTCATCACCACTAGAAATATTTTGTATTTTTCCTGGGGCCTTATCCAAATGGAAGTATATGCAAAGACACACCCACTTGCAGGGTCTTGCTGGGTGGGCGAAAACAGAATACTGAACATCTGTGTTTCATGGGTTTCAGCCTTGAACCGAGATCACTTTGAGGAGTTCTCGCTTCAGGTGTCGGCTTTCGGGGTTCTGGTTACACTAGGTCCCCCAGTGCCCTTTTAGCCTTTTCTGGGGGAGGGTTTCCCTACTAAAATAGACTACAGAAAAAAGAATCGGTACCCTTATTCTAACCTCAAAATTCAGGAGGACCTAGTACAGCTGACCCAAAAACCAAAAGCTAGCCTCCAGGTTGTGAAACTCACGAAGACGGTGGTTCAGGTTGATTCTAATGTGAACCCCGGATTAAGCAGAACTTCTGGTTGATTAATAGAGGGGTGTCCCCTTTTAGTGGGCATTCATCACTTTTGAACGGAGCACCCCCCTAATAATGGGACGGGTTTATTATTCCTGGGTCAACATTAATGCTAACCCGGGAATGATCCAGGGTGTTGGGTATGAACCTAGGGATTGGTTATTTGGAGTCATTTCAGCATTCCCCGAGAACCAGCAAGACAAATAAACCCTTGAGTTGATTAGTGTTGGAATGCCACTTTTGGACCCCCCCCCCTATTAGTAGGACTGGTTCTAACGTTATATAGGTGGTCAGCCTGAATTTGACAGCTTCGATCCACACGAGAAGTGGTCTTGATCAAGGGTCGTGGGGCCTGACCTTTAGCAGGATGAGCAACTCGACCTTTCCAACCCCCAACTCTCACTCCTGAGTCATGGGGGCTGGGGGGGAGGGAGGAGGGGGGGGAGGGAGCCCAAATAAGCCCTAAATAAAATAAAGTTGGGCTCCCCCCCCCCCTCCCTCCGCTGCAACCAATTCGGTGGTTTTTCTTGGATCTTCAGCCAACGTCAGGTTGGTTGTAAGTGCGGACGGACGAGTTCCTGCTCCACTTTGAACCATGGGAAACCATTGTTTTGTGGCATTGGGGAATCATCAGAAACCAGGGCGTCTTAGGTGGTTCCGGATTTGGTCCATCTACAGTCTGCTTACTGGTGCTGCCCTTGTGGATACCAGAGCCGTTTTCTCGTAACAAGAATCCAGAGTTCCGCCCCCTTTGAACATGGTTTCTGGGGGAGGGGGGATTTTGACCCCTGGAGATCTCCATGTAAGGTTCCGTTACAAAGACTGGATAAAAGGAAGTCGTGGGAGATCGGGAATGTTTTGTAGCCCCATCTTTCCGAGCATAGCTTCAAAGGTCGGCTACACTGTTTTCAAGGGCACCCCGGCCGCTGGAAACATATTTGAGGGTGAGACTGTTTTGTTGCTCCCTACTTGTGGGGTTTGGGGTACTGTGGATGGACACCATCCGCTTCGCACCAGTTGGATTTCTGAAACCCTATGTCCACCTAGACTCTCCATAACCCTTTATAAAAATGGGCTCATTACCATGGGGTCATGGACCTTTTTTTCAAGGGTCATGCAGACTCCAAGCCTGCTTGCTGAACCACCAATCCCAAAACGGATTTTGTCCATCGCAATATTGGTCCTGAACCCAGAGGACAGCGAGCCCTGCGCGTTTGTCATTGGTGGTTCCCAGCCATCCGGTTCCTTAGGTCTTTCGCTCTTCAACCATTTGCTTAAGATTTTGTTTCCAGGGGGCTGAAGCAAATGCAAGTTTTAGTTGGCTTAGTGGTTGGGTTTCCCTTTTGGCAAGGGATCTGAGGACAGCCCAGGTGGTTCCTTCCCTTTTTTCTGGGGCGAATCGACCTGAAATGACCTTTTGGTTTCCTTTTTTGGGCACCCCCATTTTTAGTGGCTCCAAAGCGTGATCCCCTTTTAGTTCTGGGTCCCTCAGGGGCAAACTCCCGGCAATATCTGGAGGGGGCTGCCTTTAAAATCAGCTAAACCAAAGCAAGGATCTTCAACTTTCTCGGCTTTCGCTGTTTGTAGAATTACCTGCTCACTGCCCACGGCGAATCGACCATATGTGACCTTCAAGTATCCTCTTGTTGTTCCACGTGTTTTTTTCGTGGCCTCAAAAGGTGATCACCTCCCATTTGTCATTTCTGGGTCAACTGAGGGCAGCTGAGACGACCAAAAAGGTGCCCTTTCCACGGATTTTCCTGGGAGCCAGCTGAGACCAAAAGGGCGCCCTTTCCATAGCTTTCCAGTGGGTTCCGCATTCATCCCGTGGGGGACAGCTGAGACGACCTTGAAAAACGCGCCCTGTCCATGGCGCATTTTTTTCCGTGCGGGAACGACCGCTCCGAGGTGGTCCTCTTCTCCGACATCTTGTGGTCGCGGGTGGCCAGCTACAAGTTCCTGGCCTCCAAGCCCCCCGGACGAAACAAAAATCCGGCCGTCCTCTACGGGTCGTCTCCGATCCGTAGAGAAGGAGTCTCCTGACCCGAAGCAAAATGGTTGGTCATGACCCGAATCTTTGTTTTGGGTCATGACCAACCAGTTTTGAATCGGGTCAGAAGGAGATGAGATAATTTGTCATTTTCTGGGTACAGGCCAAGCTGAAAGGATACAATATCTCACAAACATAGCAGCTGATTTAGAGGATACCCTTGCCAACTGGTAGTTTTTGAATGTATCCCTCAGTGAGCCCTTTAGTTGTCCATTTTGTTGGTCAGTTCTGTTGAAAGCTTGTTTTAGTTTGGGTAGCTATTGATCACTGCCATGTACAGAAGTTTCCCTTCTGTTGGTTGAGAACACTAATGGCCCTGGTTTCCTGTTGGTTGAATCATCTTCCAGGGAACCCCCATCGATTTTCCTGGGATCCGGTGAAGTCGGTGGCTCCGGCGAAAGGGTGCGGAAACGATTTTGGTCGAACTCACCACTTTTTGTGCAGGGTTTGGAGGCTTGTGGGCTGCCTGGTATGGCTCCCTATGCGCTTGCCTCGTGTTTTGCGGCTTGTCCTTGATCTTGGTTATTGGTTTGCTGATGTTCTCCAAAGGCAAAATGTGCAGGCCTTCCGCTTGCTGGGATTTGTGCCAAGGGCCAAGGGTTGAGTCGAACTTTGAAGGGTCTTTGGGGGCAACTGAGCCATGTGGGAAATGGATGGAGTTTTTGCTGTTTTTTTCTTGAGCTCTTTTGGGGGTGGGTTCAAAGGGAAACCAACAGGAAAGCCCACCATATTGACATATCCATTCCCCATGACAGCACGCTTCTGGCTGGAAAGTGCAGGAAAACCTTGATCATGGTTCCAGGATCTGACCCCATAAATGTAAGATAGCGCTCAACGGAGACAAACTTGGAACCCAAAACAGCTTGCTGGTGCTGAGCAGAGAATGAGGGAATGACCCTTATAAACCATCCAACCGGTGGTTTCCTTTTGTGTTTTGTTCACGTGTTGTTTCATCATGTGGCAAAACGGCCGAATGGCCGTTTGGCTCAAGTTTTGCCCTCCCGTCAGGGGGGTCACGGATTCTTTTTGCGCCAGCCATAGTGCGGCTGACTGCTTCGCCGTCGGGAAAAGGCTCCTGACGTCGCCGTGGTTAGGCACTGGGAGGTGGGCGGAGGATCTCTGCGTGATCGTCCTGGGCTTGGACACAAACTTCCCTTCTTCAACCTATTTCCCAACCTCCCCAAACTTGATCTTCATTAACTGTCACTCCCACAATCTGGTCACCGGCACCTTCTACATTGTGCATTGGGACTGGGTTCTTTTGGTACTTCGTGAACCACGTGTACCTCTTTGATTCCCTGGGCTACTTCGTGTTCGCCCAAAACCGCAGGTTATCAGCCGTACCAGCTAGAAGCTGGGGCTGGTGATCCGGTTGCGGGACGTGACCCGCTACCTGCTCCCATCGCCTACTTGTACGAGCAATGGCGTCCCCCGGAGCTTCTCATCGTGGGCCGGGCTTCGTGGACGACGAGGCCAACGCCCTTCGCGGCAACGCCGCGCCTGCTGCCCCCGGCTTAGACAGCCGGCTGTGGCCCATTCCCCCGATGGTGGGCGCAGAGCCCAATCCCGGGGTGATCACGGACGATTGGATCCTTTCTCAGGTTGTGTTTGATGAGGATGCGGAGGCCCCTATCCCGGCGGCAGTGCTCCAGATCGAGGACGGACCCCCTCTAGAAGAGGCTGAGGTTCCTCCAAATCAGGTGCCCTCATCGATTTCGCCTACTGTTCCGTTCGTGGCGCTCCAGATCGAGGACCGGGCTGTCCATCATGCTGCTCATCCGGAGCCGGCTCAATCATGGTCCCTTACATGGGATCAGTTTGACCAACTCCTCGGCAGTGGATCGCAGGCTACACCGCCTGATTTCGGTCGGCTCGACTTTAACTCGGGTGCCCCCGTTTCGGTTGGGAATCTGGATTTTCAATCCCTTTTTGATGCTGATTGGAGGTCTCAGCCTTCCCGAATTGACAGATCTTTTGATGCCCTGCCTACGCATGAGCCTACTCAGGGTTTTCCTCATGATGGAGAAAATGACCCCATTGAAGATTTCTCCCCTTCTCATGTTGCAGGTTCGGCCCAACCCGAGGTGGGCAAACGGGCGATTGAGGATTGGCCGCAAATAGCTGGCCCTCCTCCCGTCTCAGGTTCATCCGACATTGACATCATTCACGATCACCCCAGTCCGGCGGATATGGACTTCATCCCTGATGCAGTATCATCTCACCTGTCAGGTACCCGTGACCGGAATGCGGACCGCTACAACGCTGGTCCGAATCCACCGCTTTCCTCAGGTACCCGAGGTCGGGATGCGAACCGCTACAACGCGGGCTCAAATCCGCCAAATCGGACATCAGGTACTAGTCGATCGGATGCGGGCCGCGAAACAGCAGGCCCAAATCCTTCCTCCTCTTCGTCAAGAAGCCATGCCGGTCTCTTCGCGGCGTTCAATCGGCGTCAGACTCGAAAAGAGTCCGCCCCCGACGTCATCGACCTCGAGGAGCAGTCCAGCCACCGTACCAGCGATGGATCCGAGCAGGATACACCTGGTATTGGCTCTACTCCATTTGACCTCCTCGACATCCCCTTCCATCAGCCACCCAGGAGAGGAAATGAAGATGATGAAACCATTCCTGGGATCCTTGATGTAATCGATGAGGCCGAGGTCACACCAGAGAGACGAACTACATCGCTCCCGCCGAGCCGCGTTGCCAAAGTACTTTCCCCTAAGCCACTCAATGGTGACGTTGCTCAACGGCTTGATCTCACTCAACCTAATCCAGATCAAGCTCAACTTCGCGGATCATCATCATTTGATAATGTGTCGGGACAAACCGGCACTGACTCACGAGCCACAAAGAGGAGCTCTGAGTCACCCGAGAGACGTGAAGCTGCTCTACGACTGCGATCTAATCCCCCAGCTCATCACGATCCTATTGACGTTCCTATACACTCTGCGGGGTCTGGGCTCAGCTCCAATGCCCCGATGTCTGAGAAGGAGACTGATGACGGGATTAACTCTACGCCTAGGAATCGGAGACCTGGACTTAGCACTGTTGCCCCTGGATATGGAGGGCTTCCTTCGAATCAACCGGTCAACGACTCCGTTGTCCCCGCATTCTTTCAAATCGGAACTCCGGGCTGCACTCCCGACAGGGAAGAGAATAGTCGCGGAGATCATGACGCTGATAGTCGTCCTGCTCCGTCTGCTTCCACAAGTGGCGGCCATCCTGTTGCATCTGAGCTTCAACGACTGCTTCTCGCGATCCACAACGAGGTCAAGGGGTGCAAGGCCGAAATCCAGGGATGCAGAGCTGAGATTCGTTCATGTAGGGATGATATCAACGCTTGCGTCGGTGAGATCAAGAAGATCAATAACCGTGTTGACGCCTTCGAAAAGAAGGTTGAATCATCTTTCTCTGCCGTTGCCGGAACTCTCTCAAAACACGAGGCTAAGTTCCGTGATTTCCACGAGTGGGTCGCCCGAAGCGAGAAGGAGATGAATGAGCGTTTCAAGATGTATGATGAGAGATCTGACTCGATCGTCATATCCGCTGCTGAACTTCGCGAGCAGGCCGAATCACTTGAGAACGTCAAGGTCCAGCTTCTTAGGTTTTCTGAGATCGGGGCCCTTGAGGCTGAGGTTCGGAAAATCAAAGACGAAGTTGAGGCGAACTCTCGCAGTGTCATCGACATTGAGGGAACCATCTCAAGAGAAAGAACCATCCGTGGGAACGTCGAGACGTATATCCAGCATCTCGTTCCTGCGACCGACCTGAAGCAGTTCAGTGATAAGGTATCCGGAGCCCTCAATGAGAACTCACAGAAACAGGAAGAATTCAAGCTTCAATTGTCCCGCATTGCTAGATGTGTCAAGGACCTTCATGACAAAAGCTTAGGCCCCAATCCGAGGGACATGCAAGAGCAGTTTATGAAGCTTGTGCTGAGGGTCAATGAGATCAACATGCAGATCGCTGAATTGAGGGAGCAACCTCTTGCTGCCTGCGGATCCTCAAGTGCTGGCGCTGGTTCGACCGCCGGAACGGGATCATGGGAGAAATCTGGAGACACTGATCCCTTAACCCAGGGAAGGGCTCCTAGAGGTTCTCCTCCTCGTGATGCTCGCACCGTCAGCTCGGCGAGGCCTCCTCCACCTCCACCTCCTTCGGGGCCACCCCCACCATCACCATCAGCCCCCATCTTCGGCAGGGATCCCTCTAGAACGAGGGCCATTGCTCGGGCTGCCGGCGCTGCCCCTGATAACCGGGCCAGGTGTGCTCATGAGGAGCCGGGCATCCACAGCATCGGGAACCTCGCTATCCATGCCGAAGCTGCGGCAAGTCAGTCTGCGAAGACTGCTTTGACCATGACTGTAACTCATGTTTCAAGTGCAGCGATCAGTTTCCTAGATGCCGCGCATGCAGAGGAAGAGGGGGGAGACACGGACTTGTGAGGTGTCTCATATGCAAGGACGAGTACTGCGATCAACACATCGCTTCGCCTGACGATGTGCGTCGTTTTGGGTCGAGTGTTCGACCTATTTGCCTCGGTTGTCTGAGAGCTGATCCCGACGGGAAAACTAAGCATCGCGGCCCCAGTGCGGGGCCTGGAGGACCTGATTGCATTCCTGATCATAATCAGCGGGATGGCACTGCTCCTGATCCTGGATCCGGGCCATCACGTGGAGATCCGTCACATCGGAGTCCTGAACCGCACCAAGGGAATTCTGGTTTCTGTTCCCACGCCGGAGCTGCCGGGCCAATGCCACCAAGGGCAATGTCTTCGCCCGTAGTCGGACGAGCAGTTCCGAGGGGGACCATCAACACGTACCCCGGATGTTCCCCTACAGGGGGGATTTTCACCGGTCAGGTTGAGCATGGAACGTCTCAGGGAGTCATTCGCGGGAGATACGGACCTGACGCTGC